GGAGGGGGGGCAGTGCATTCTTTGAGCTAGAAAGCAGTTGCTGTCTTTTCTCATGCGAGCATGGCTGTAGCTTGTTCTGTCGCTCTTCTCCCTCTCCCGTCCCCTCCCCTCCCTCCCTCCCTCCCTTGTCAGAAGCTCCGCCCTCCTCTCTCCTCCTCTCTCGCTCCTCTCCTCCCGCTTGTTTCCTTCACTCGCCACTGGTTTCACCGGCTTCTTCCCACCCTCCTCTATCTAAGCAGGCGATTGAGAGGAGGATCGCGAAGACGGTCGAGAGAGTCAGGCAGGAGTCCAGCTGTCGTAACGATCTCAGAAGGAGGGATGAAGGAAGAAGCAACGCCGAGAGAGCCTGAAGGACCAGACGAGATTGCAGGTGAACCCCAAGCACCTCCATGCAAATGATCCTCCTCCTCCTCCTCCTCCTCCATGCAGCTTATTCTCCTGATCCAGGTCCTCCTCTCCCTCCTCCTCCTCCTCGTCCTCATCCTCCTCCTCGTCTTTCTCGATCTCGTTTTCCTCTACCTCATGTTGCCTTTCGCTCGCTCGACCTGATCTTCGCTCTAGCTGCAGGAGTTGTGCTCTCCACTGATGGTGGGAAGTTTCTGATTGAAAGCTCCTTACCCGACTCGCTTCCTAAGGATGAAGCCAAGTTGTACACACAGGACGGCATGTGCATAGGCAGAGTGAAGGTGAGAGGTGGAGGAAGACAAGGTGAGGGAAGCAGGCAGGAGGTAACGACAGGAGCAGGAGGTGCTGGGCCTCTTGAATTATCCCTTGTTCTCCTTGCGCCCTGAGCTGGGGATAATCCCGGCAACCTACTCGGAGGGGACGAAGGTGAACGAGTCGCTAGCTGCCGTCACGTCTCAGCGTCTGCAGGTTTTTATTCAGCCCGACAAGGTGATCGCTATAAGCCAAGTCGTTGCCAATACAGAGAAATGGTAGCAAGAGTAGAGGCTTTTGGGGATGCTGATGTCAATTTCAAGGGAAGCGAAGGAGAGGAAGAAGAAACGGAGATCGAGGAAGGTTGTGCGGCAGCCTCTGAGAAGATTCTTTTAGCTGTTCTATTAGATCAAAATCCCATCGGCCTTCCGCTTCTATTGTACAACTGTACATCCTCATACTATGGTTGCAATCATCACTGACATGTTGGAACCTCAAGATTCGAAAAAGCTCACTCGTCGCATGGGAGAGTTTCCCCGGCTACGAGAACTTGCGAGAGGAGAAACTGATTTGCGCGAACTCTCAGCAAGCTCCGAGTCTGAGAGCGACCTCGGAACTGTCGTGCGGTTGAGCGTGGATGAGTTGTGAACGTCGGAAGTAGAAGCAAACGGGCCCTTGGGCCCCTTGGGTGCTGAAGTTGGCGCTGTAGCAACCTTGACAGAATCCAGCAGAGCTTTTGCGAAAGACTTTCCTGACTGCCACAAGCCTTGCTTGCTGCTTGCTTTTGTTGCAGGTGCCTTGCGGAGGATACTTTGGGGCTGAATTGAAGCGGAAGAGGAAGTCTCGGCATCAAACTTGACGCTCTTTCTTGACACTGGAAATGAACTTCAGTGATCACGAACAAACGTGACGAGATCGATTACCTTCCGATCCTTTGCTTCGCCCACTGTCACTTCCGCTGTCAGATCCTGAATCTGCAAGGCGAGGGGTCATGCAGAATGCGTTGCACGAGTGTTGCTTGAGAAACTTCTTGATGCCCTCCATTCCCAGGTTCTCCCTTCCAAACCCCTCCCCGTCTGCCGAGTGCACCTGGGGGCTGGTGTAGCAACCTGCAACTCCCTTCATCCCGAACACTAGTATCCGCTGCTCCGACGCGTTCCAAGTGTAGTGCGAGAACGCTTCGAGGAGCTCTTCGCCAGCAGTAGTGATGGGCTTGAACTTGCCGGCTATGAGCGGCTCGACACAGACGAGCTGATCGTCTCTTTCGCAGAGCTTGTAGATGGTGACGGGGATGAATTCAAGCCTTCCATGGCTCGCTCGCTCCTTGTCGAATTCTTCCGCAAAGTCCTTAGCCAGCAGTTGCGACATCGCTTTGTGGAAGTACGCCTGCACAGGTTGTTCTTCCTTGAAGAGTTTGGCGACTGAGGTGACCCTGACACCATCAGGAAGCTTTTCTGACATTAGAAATCCTACCCGCATCGACCCCATGCAGAACGGTTCCTCCGACAAAGTCACGTACGCTCTGCTTGCAACCCATTGCTCTGTCTCCCGGTTGTAGGTGAACTTCACAGCCTTTTCCGGTAAATCTCCATTTACGTTGAGAAAATCTCCCTCACAGACATTCTGTGGAGATATACTGTTTGCAGCAATCCTCTGAATCTTCTCCTCCTTGCCGGTGCGCCGCTGTTCTGCTTCCTTCAGTCTGGATGCTTGCCGGGTGAGCTGGTCAAGATCTCGTGGGGATGGAGAAGGAGACTTTCGTTCCATGTTCTTTGTCTCTTTGAGCTTGTATGACTGTCGGGTCATGTTGTCGATGTCTCTAGGTGAAGGAGAGGGAGATTTCCTCTCCCTGTCCACAACTTGCTTTGCATGCCCTCTCACCAAACTCATGCTTGATCACTTGCTTACAGTCGCGTTCTCAGATTCTTGCCGGCTCTATTCCTCTTTCAGTTCACTCGCTCACTCGCTACTCACTCGCTCCCTCGCTCTCTCGCTCTCTCTCTCTCTCTCTCTCTCGCTCTCTCGCTCTGTCGCTCGCTCTCTCTCTCTCTCTCTCTCTCCCCTCAGGGCCTGCTGCTCGTCGCTCTTGGCTTCTAGACTTTAAGATACCAAGGGTTGCGATTTAACTGGTCGAGGGGGTGGGTGGAAGCACGAGAATTCGGTGTAACAGGTGGAGGTACCGGTCCTTTGCACTGCTTTTGACCTCGCATCAAGGCCTGAGGGGTCATGGTGTGGTGCCTTGAGGTCACTGGGGTTGGTGGGGTGGTAACCATATCTTTTTCGCCCCCTGATAATCGAATCATCGCGGCAGCTAGGACCCTCCTAGGACCCCTTCAATGTCATCAGCTACATCATAAAATATCCTAGTACTCAGGCCTAGGAAAGCTATGTCTTCGATATGAAAATAAAATTCAATGGACCACCCCTCCCTTTCTCGAAGCAAGTTCGGCACCCAGGGCCTTCTCGGGGCCTCTGCCACTGACTAATCCGGTACCCGTGTAGATGACCCGGTCAGTACCCCACCTAGTATGCGGGAAGTACCACCTAGACCCCTCCGCGCGGGTGCCAGGTCTGTGGTCCCCCAACGTGTCGGAAGCAGCCAATGTAACGGGCGGTGAACAAACTTGTAACGGTAAAGTATCCTTGAAGCATCCTTAACTTAACTTTGAGTAAAGTTCTTGACCGTACTGGCATGTCCTGCGCGCAGTTAAGTGAAGGTATCAGTTAAGCCTGGGGGACAGCAGTCGGCAGGATTCGGTTTAGTTCTCGCTGTCTTTTCTCTTCTCGCCGTTTGGCCTGTGCGAGTGTAAAAGGGGCTCGCCTCTCCTGATTGTCCTCGTACTGATTTTTAACTTAACTTTGAGTAACGGTCAAGCCTCCTCGACTCTCCTGATTGTCCTCGTACTGATTTTTAACTTAACTTTGAGTAAAGAATACTGGCATGTCAGTCGGATGTCCCGCCGGTACGGTCCGGTCGCCGCAAGACGGTCCCACAGTGTGGCCGCCCGGGCCCGCCGCCCGGGCCCGGCCGCAGACTGAGGTGCCGGGGCGGACCGGCCTCCGGGGAGGCCCGGCCCCGGGTCGGAACGCCGGTTCACGCCGACGGTTCAAACGGTCCTGCCCCCGGCTAGTAAGGCTACCGTGGTGACCGCATCCGAGCCGGATCCGCCGGACGAGCCAGGCGGCCCGCCGCCGGCCCCCCCGGCTCCGGGCCTCTCGCGGCCCCGGTGACTGAGCCGCCGGCCGGACCGGACGACTGAGAGTCAGGGCGACTCGGACTCAGAGTGGAGCCCGGCCGGCCGGCGATGCCGGCCCGGGCCGCACTGCGGCCGGGCAGTGCCGCGGCAGTCCGGAGTCTGCGGGACCTTATTACTCAGTCAACTTGGAGTACTACGGCGTCGGGGATTTTCCAGAACTTCGCACTTGTGCAGGTCATATGTACCGGTACTTCAACCACCCCACGTATCATTAGTACCGGTGTTCCATGTACCACCACCTATATCTCTACCCAATGAGGACCACCTGTTTCTCAGTCAAATCCACCCAATCTGCATCACCCACCCTACCCATTGTTACCTCCCACCCCGGCCTCTCGCTGCCGGTGTCGAACCGTGATGGCGGAGGATCCTCTACGGACGGTGACGCGAGCTACGAGGCCGATGGGCGGGCAGAAGCCCGGGACATCCGGGCTGAGGAAGAAGACGCGAGAGTTCATGCAGCCTGACTACCTGGCCAACTTCGTTCAGAGCGTGTTCGATGCGCTGCATGAGGTTGGGACGCAGACGGAGGGAGGCACGCTGGTGGTATCAGGGGACGGGAGGTTCTTCAACAAGGAAGCCATTCAGATCATCATCAAGATTGCTGTAGCTGCTGGCGTCCAGAGGTTTTGGGTGGGCAAGGATGGCCTCCTATCAACTCCAGCGGTTTCAGCGGTCATCAGGAACAGGGCTGGAGGGTTCAAAGCTTTCGGAGCTTTCATACTGTCGGCGTCGCACAACCCGGGAGGCATAGAGGAAGACTTCGGGATCAAGTACAACTGTGAGAATGGCGGACCCTCCCCTGAGAAGATCACCGAACTTGTGTATGCCAAGACTCAGACCATCTCAGAGATCAGATCTGCCGACGCCTTCCCCAACGTCGATTTGTCCTCGGTGGGCGTACAAGAGTTCTCGTCCCCCGACGGCAAACGGCAAGTCACCATCGAGATTTTCGACCCGACGGAAGACCACGTGGCTGTGCTGCAGCAGTGCTTCGACCTAGAGGCCATCAAGAGGCTCATGGCTCGCAGCGACTTCTCCTTCTGTTACGACTCCCTCCATGGGGTTCAGGGCCCCTACGCCAGGCGCATCTTCTGCGACATTCTCGGGGCGCCCGCGTCTTGTCTGATGAACTGTGAGCCCAAGGAAGACTTCGGAGGCCCTTCATGCCCCAGCCATGGTCACGCGGACCCGAACCTTGCCAACGCTCGGGAGCTCTGTGAGAGGATGGGAGTGTCGGCTGATGGGTCGCCAGTGATGGGACAGTCATGGCAAGTCCCATGCATGGGGGCAGCAGCCGATGGAGATGCGGACAGGAACATGATCCTTGGGACTCGATTCTTCGTGACTCCATCGGACTCGCTGGCTGTGATCGTGGACAACTGTCATCTCATCCCCTACTTCAGCAGGGACAACAAGAATCTGCTGCGAGGAGCGTCGAGGAGCATGCCCACCAGCTGTGCGCTTGACCATGTCTGCAAGGCCAAGGGAATTCCTTTCTTTGAAACCCCCACGGGATGGAAGTTTTTCGGCAACTTGATGGACTCGGGCACATACGCACCCTTCATCTGCGGTGAGGAGAGCTTTGGAACAGGTTCAGACCACATCCGAGAGAAGGACGGCATGTGGGCTGTGCTTGCTTGGCTCCAGATTCTTGCAGCAAACAACGTGGACCCCAGCAAGCCTCTCGTTACCATCGAAGACATCGTGACCTCGCACTGGAGTAAGTATGGGCGCAACTACTACGCGAGGTACGACTACGAAGGAGTTGACCTCGACAGCGCGAACAAGATGATGGAGAGAATGGTGAGCATGGCAGGTTCTTGGCCTGCAGATGCGTTCGAGACCTACGAGCTACAGAAGGCCGATGTCTTCGAGTACACAGACCCGATCGACGGCTCTGTCTCTAAGAACCAGGGCATTCGCTTCCTCTTCCAGGACGGCTCTCGCATTGTCTTTCGCCTCAGTGGAACTGGCGTGGTGGGGGCCACCATCCGCATGTACCTCGAGAAGTATGAGCCTCCGGCTGGGGACCTTTCTCGGCATCCCCATGAGGTAGTGAAGCCTCTTGCTGTCCTCGCCCTCAAGTTATCCAAGTTGCAAGAGTTCACTGGACGAGACGTGCCCTCCGTCATCACCTAATCGTTTACTGGAACAACAAGACATAACATATGCTTCCATGCCTCCTGCACGCGATTGGACGAGCCTGTGCTCTGTCCTATTCGTTTTTCCGTTTGTTCTTCCCTCCCTTGCTCCTTTTCTTTCCCTTGTTCGATCCTGTTGAGCTCAAGTCCAGCTTGCTCTTAATCAGGGCCTCCAGCTCGTCCTCGTTCGCTTTGACCTGATCGTCATTCTCTGATGTCTCAGTCTCCGACAACATGGACGATCGAGTGTTCAGAACAGGCTCGACTACTCCCATCTCTTTCCGCAGAAACTCGGGGAGGAAGAAGATGGACTGATCCTCTGTCGTTGCGTCGCTTGTCGTAGCTTGGCTGACCCCATCTCTTTGCGGCATGGAGGAGAACCGTCGGTCGGGAACGATGGAGCAAGTCAGGTTGTCGATCATGAACGCGTTGATAAGCAGAAGGTGGTGATACACCCGGTTGGAGCAGGGGTAGGGGTTGTCGAAGAAGCTGTGTAAGTTGTCAGGGAGCCGCTCTCTTCTCGCCCTCGCTGGAAGAAAAATGTCAAACAGTTCTTCCAGCTTGGGAGTCGAGGAACCGCTGACAAGCTCCAGCAGCTCTGGGATCTCTCTCTGCATGTGCTCCACCCGTTGAACTAGCAGCGCTTGCTCCGACGACATGCACGACCTTCGCTCGCCCGCGTCCTGCAGCCCGCTGAAGAGACCTTTGGTGTGCCACCATGGCAGATGAGCGTAGCGAGAAGTTTCCGGCTTCACCTGGTTGGAGACAACAAAGGGAGGGAGGAGGACACAGAGGACTATGAGACTGCCCGCTATCTTGCTGTCGTAGAACATGCCCATCTAGACGGGGAAGGAGCGTCGTGTAGGAGGGGGAGGAGAAGGGGGGACGCGAGAAGGGCAAAGCGACAAACAGTGTGCGCAGAGGATAGGAGACGGGAGCAATGAGGAGAAAGTGGAGATGTTTTCGAAGGTGACAGAGGTAAGGAGGGGTATGGGGCAAGGGGTCAGAACATACCGAGGAAGAGAAAAAGAGGGAGGAAGGGGCGGAGGAGGACGGAGGGCGGGAGAGCTGAGGAGGATGACGGAGGGCGGGAGAGCGGAGGAGGATGAAGGAGGGCGGGAGAGCGGAGGAGGATGAAGGAGGGCGGGAGAGCGGAGGAGGATGAAGGAGGGCGGGAGAGCGGAGGAGGATGAAGGAGGGACGGCAGGGCAGCACTGATGGGGGTCAGCGAGGAGGGGAGGAGGAAGCGACCATCTAAGCGACCATCTGAGCGACCATCAGGGAAGCATGTCAGAGGGGGGATGAGGGAGGTCGGCACGGCCCGGGCCCTCATCAGTGAATCCGGTGACCCCCCGGCGATCAACTTCAGGTGATTTTTCAAACTTTACTAGACCTTCCACCCCCCTTCTTGACTTATTTTACACCCGTGGTATGGGCAAGTTCTACAACCCCACCCCTATCAATTGAACTGTGGTTCTCAGCGATGAGATCAACCAGTCACCCCTTCATCACCCCCAAGATGACTGTGATATTTGGGGTAGGGGTGGTTGCAAGAGAGCCCTCATCCCCACATCGACCCCACCAAATATGGTCTCCGAAACCTGCTCCGAAACTAGTTGCGGGTGTGGTGATGCTAGGGGTGGGTACTAGTGGACTAAGCCTACTGGTGACCCCGTCCTTGTCCTCAGTGATATATTAAATATCAGGGGTACAAAAAGAAATGGTGGGTACTATTTGAATGATGGGGGTAGGCGTGATTGGGTCCTCATGTTGTTAAGTTGGGCATGTCGCACATGCTTGGCCACTGAACGTGATGGAAGAGGGAGGGAGAGAGAGAGGGAGAGTGAGTGAGTGAGTGAGTGAGTGAGTGAGTGAGTGAGTGAGTGAGTGAGTGAGTGAGTGAGTGAGTGAGTGAGTGAGTGAGTGAGTGAGTGAGTGAGTGAGTGAG